ATGCACCCCTATGTTCATAGCAGCACAATTCACCATAGCTAAGGTTTGGAAACAGCCCAAGTGCCCATCAGTAGATAATTTAAAAAACTTACTTGGCCAAAACAAATAACTATTTATAGTAAGTTTTTATAGTAAGTATAAAAAGTATTTACAGTAAGTTTTTCGGCCCGACAGCTGGCTAAAGGCATTCAGCCAATCCCACGGGCTGTTCGAGCCCTTTGCGTTGGAGGGGGGCGGGTCCGTACCTGGGACTGGGCGTTGATGTTGGCGCCTTCCTTGACCAGCACCTTGACGACCTCCGCCTGTCCCGCCAGCGAGGCAATGTGAAGAGCCGTGTTCCCCTTCTGTTTCGAAGAAACAGACAGAAAATGTTACTGCGTCCACCAGTGGTAGAAAGGGGAGTGTGACAGCCTGCTCCGTGCTGCCGCCTTCCCTGGTGGTCAGACCTGCACCCTCACCACGTGGCCGACCTCGGGGGGGAGGGGGGTCGTCTCCCTTCTGTCCTCAGCCCCGGGGGCGGGGGCGGGCAGGGGGGAGCCGTGGGCAGACGGGTGCCGATTGGTCCGCACAGGGTTCCGTGAGGCTCGCGCCTCCTCGCTGAGGGAGGACCTTCACGGGCCTGAACTCTAGCCCCTAAAGTGGAACTACATCTTGACCCCTTTGGGTTCGCCAGGGAGTCTTTTGCCTTTAAAATTCCCCTGGAATTCCATACACCCGGCTGTGAGCTGGGCCCCTCTGCATTTTGGCACAAACGCATGAGGCGTTGACAGTCCAAACTAACTCCCCAGATGGAGGCCTGAGTGCCCAGCCCTGTCCTTGGCCCTCCCACGGCCCTATCCCCACACCGCTCCCCGTCTCAGACCCTAACACTCTACATCTCTTCCTCTTCCCCCTCCCCTCCCCCTCCCCCTCCCCTAACCCTTTCTCTCCCTGATTCCTACCCTGACCCTCCTCCTACCCCTACCCTAACGCTCCTTCTCCCCCTACCCTAACCCGACCCCCTTCCTCTCTGCATCTCCCACAACACCCTGCTCACACTCCAGCTGGGCAGCAGGCTGGGTTCTCACTGGCTACTGTTTTCTAAAGGACAAAGACGGGTCACCACTGGTGACATTTTTAAAAAATAACTGTTGTTTCTGGAATGCTCCCCGGTGGCCAGGCTCACATATGTCCCCACAGAGGCAGCGTCACAGGAGGCACATCCCTCGTCCCAGCCTCTGCGCACGTCCGTCCTTACACGCGCATCCACTCTCCTTACACACCCGGGCAGGACCTCACGTTACTGTGACAACTCAGCCCATGACCCCCACGCTCCTTCCCATTGGCCATAAAGGATTCCGCATCCTCTCTCACCAGTGAGATGGACACATCAAAACACAACAATGTCATGAAAACTGCTTGTTCTTTCCACCGAGATGCGACCACATCCACTTACACAGTAACTGAGTTAACCTCGGGGAAGCAGGTGCTCCTGTTTCTACAGACAATCATGTCATCTCGTCTCCACGGCAAAGGAGAAAGCTGAGCTAGTGGGAACCGGGCCCGCAGGAAGGATTCAGCGTCGGGCCTGCCACTTCCCCAAAGGCCGTCGCCCACACTCGGCCGCGCTGCCCGGGAAGGGGTTCGATGGCAGCGCGGCCTTTCAGAACCCGGGGGTCCCAGCGGCCCTGGGGTGTGCACCAGGGGAAGGGCCGGTGTCTGCCGCTCCCCGTGCAGGGCGCCTACCTTGGTGGCGGAGTCCACGGCCGACCCTCTGCCCAGCAGCTCCTGCACCAGCCCCACGTGGCCCTCCTTGGCCGCCAGGTGGAGGGCGTTGAGTCCATTCTGCAAGAGAAGAGACGGCCTCAGGGGAGGGGAGAAGGAGGAAGGGCCGCGTGATCCCCGGCCCAGGGAAGCTCTCTCTGAGCATCAGCTCGAAGCCGCTAAGTTCAGAGACCGTGTTCCAGTGGTTTCATCCAGAGGCAGAGGTAAGTGCATAGTCGTTAGAAAGGGGGATTCGGCAACAGCACGAAAACAACCTTTTCTTTAAAAAAAACCCTAAGACATACAAATCCTTTCACACTGAGAGAGAGAGGAGAGAGAGAGAGAGAGAGAGAGAGAGCAGCTCCGTGTCACTCAGTGCCAACCAGACACGAAGCGTCAGCCCTGGGCAGCTTTACATAAACCCGGCTTTGCGGAACCTGGGGGAGAAATGTCCTTTCCATAAAACTCGACACAGAAGCTAAAGGGCCGTTTCGACGCTCACACCGCCTGCGAAGCCCATCCTATACTTACCGGACCTCAGCCTGTCCCCTGTCGCCGACTGGCCCGTCATTCCTTTTCAACTGAAACGCATGTGACAGTTTCCGATGGCACTGTAACGTCCGGCTCCCTCTCCCCAGATTCCGAAAGACTCTGTGTCTCGCCACAGCACGGGGGACGCACGGACGACACCAACGAGTGAGAGGAGTCGGACGTCTGCCCGCTGTCCTCATGCGCACAGAGAGCCAGGCGGGGACAAGCTGCTTTGGGGCAATCCCGTTTGCGGCTGTGGCCCGGCTCACACGGAAGGGTTTTCTGCCGGAGGCCAGTTCCAGCATGACAGCAGGGCTGCACCTGGGAATGGCTGAGGGCATTTCCCCAAACCCGAATAGGATGCAGTGAATTGATTGTTGGCTGCCAGACAGCTCAGGGCAGCTTAGTCTACATGTTATTGCCTCCTGCTGGCCAAACACCTGAACAGCTCAGGCTAATGCCCCCGTTCTGACAATGCCTCTGTATACGGAACCCTGACCCTTTGGGGTGTGTATCTCTGCTCGCCTCAGGACAGTTTGTGTTAATAAAGAGCATGGGGTCCTGAGGCGAGGAGACCTTAGTTCCCTTTAAACTAGGCTCCTCTGATCCCCAAATGCCTTTCAAAATTATATTTCGTCTCTGGACTCCTATCTAATCTATGCACAGCCTTTCTCTGGATTCCAGAACCCTTCTAAATGCCAGAACAAGAACCCGGCAGTGTTCTCCTGGCTTTTATATTTGGCTCAAAAACAAAGTGATTTGTTGTCTCCGTTGCCTAACACGGTGCTCTGACTCGGAGGAGCTGATAGGGTTGCACTAACGCTTACGCGGGTCGTAAACGGGAGCCCAGCCTGGCATTGGCTCCTGGAGGTTAACGTAACAGAACAGTACGAACCAAGTCCTTTGAAACAACCGGCAAATATTCACTGAGCTCTTAGGTGAGCAGGTACCGCCTGGTCCTTAAACGCCCGGCAGGCCCCTGGCCCCTGGCGGACACTTGTCTGTGGTTGCTTTAGGCCTCGGGCTGCTCCGCTCCGTAAACCCCACGTGCGAGCGCAGGGCCCGCCAGTCTGTCTTGTGCATTTGAGAAAAGCACAACCGCCTCACAGACCTGCCTTCATCCTGCTGATGTAACTACCGGGAGGAGGCGGCTGAAATACAGGCGTTTCTGGGAAATACCAGGAGATGCGGAGCAAATCCACCCCAAACGGTAACAGGAGAGTGAAGCTCGGCCCCTGACCCGACTCTCCCTCTCTCTGGGACCCCCACCAGCCGAGGTCTCTCGGGAGCCACGCCCACAGGTAGACGCAGGTCGTTATGAGACGCTGTCGGCGGCGTCACTGCGCCATCGGCATCTGTGACATTGGTGAGGACTCAGCTACGCGATGGAGGGAAAAAGCCAACGCAAACCACAAACGACCTGTGGGCACCGCCTGAGTCCAGGTCCCGCCCCGACACCAACCAGCCGCCCGCACCCGCACCCGCCCGCCTCCCCGTGGTGGCCACTCGGAGCTCGGAGCTCCGCTGCGACGGGAGCCAGGGTTTACTCCGCTTTCTGCGGACCGGGAACCGCAAGGCACATGTGTCACGGCCACCCGACACCACTGAACTGTGTCTCGGGGTCTCTGGCCGGTTCCCGCGGGCTTCCGATTAATAAAGTGAACCAAGCCACGGAGGCCACGAGGACACGTGTCTTATTAGTGAGTCTCCTCACGTGGCCACGGCTTTCTTCATTCCCAAACGAGTTTGTAATGAGGTACTTGCTAAGCCTCCGCCCACTGACACATCTTCCCCGCGAGGCTGGGCAGGTGGTAGCGCGATGGTCATTCCATCGGGAAACGGTGGCACAGGACCGCCTAGCAGCACCACCGCGTGCGTCCGCCCGGGGCCTGAGCACCCCGCACCGCGGAGGCCACCGTCCCTCCCTGTCCGGTCCCAGCAAATGCTCCCATCCTGGAACCCCCCGGACACAGAGCGGCCTTGAGTGACGGTGAGTTAGCCTGAGGAGGAGAGCGAAACTCTTCCAAACCCTAACAAGGCCAGAGGGACGGAAGCAGGTGGTGACCGATAGCTGGGAACCTGTGTTCACACTGTTGGTCGTGACGCAGAAGCAGGTCAACGACGCCAGGCAAAGGCTCATGCCCGTCCGCACGTCTCTACCCAGGACACCGAGCAGAGGAAAGCACCCAGGGGCAGGTGCTTCTGGTTTACTTTCTGTTGGACTTTCATACACACACATGCACACACGTGTATCTGTGTTTACATGTGCATAACTGCGTGTGCAAGTTTGTGTTTATGTGTCATCTCTGTGTGTGCACAAGTCTCTGTTTATGTGTGTATCTGTGCACACACACGTGTGTCTGTGTGTTTAAGTGTGCACGTGTGTCTGTGTGCACGTGTCTGTGCACTTATGTGTGCATCTCTGGTGTGTGCATGTGTGTGTGCCTGTGTGTTTATGTGTGCATCTGTGTGCATGCATGCCTGTGTGTCCATGCGTGCCTGTGTGTGTATGTGTAAATCTGTGCATGTGTGTGCGTGCTCTGGGCTGCATAAACACTAAGGAAGTTTAGGCAACACCCGGGATGTGAGGGCTCCTTGGGGAAAGGAGATGTCCTTTCGGGTCAAGTAGTAACAGCGGCTGCTCTCCAGCTTCTCCCGGCGGCGGGAGGGCGGGGGGCTGGAGTGATGGTTGCCGGCTTGGAGTTCCTGAACTCACTCCCCTCTCAGACGCGTGCAGATGCAAACAGGCGGAGTGGCGAGGGGCGGCGAAGAGCCCTTCCTGTCGATGATGTTCCCTGAGCCCCAGGCGGCATCAGCCTCACCCCAGCCCTGGACGGTTTCAGGGTCTGGCTCACGGCCCTTCCTCCAACATGTAGCTGGTGGTTCCCCCGAATCTCGACCGTCAGGCCCCTGCCTCTCAGCCGATGGCCCTTCCCCCTCCCGCCTCGTCCACTCGCTTCCATCGTGGGACTCGAGACCTCGTCACTCAGGGACAGCGCCTCCCTCCAGGCCCTCGGCTCCCAGCAGCGGCCCTTCACCACCACTCACTTTCCTGCCAACCTCCT